AGTAGCTGTAGCAGGACTGCTTGTATTTTTCACAAAGGTAGCAGAGCAAACAGCACAGCCTTGACTGCCCTGTCCTCCTCTGCAACCATCTGAGCTGCCAAGTGAAGCGACTAAGGACTAGTCCATGTTGAGCTGGTCATATACCAGTTAAGAGTAGGAGCTGGGGAGGGTTAGACTCCAGAGGGTGATAGGGGCAATCCCGTACACTCAGAGGGATCCCCAGAAGTCGTATTCTGGTGTTGCTGGGTGAATGACAGCTCCTGATGCCAAACATCAGAGGTAGGCCTCCACATCTTGGAGTTTTGTGTCTGTTCTTGGTCACCCCACATGTATATAGAATCATAGAATCATTAAGGTTAGAAGAGACCTCTAAGATCATCGAGTCCAACCGTCAACCCAACGCCACCATGCCCACTATACCCTAAGCGCCCCATCTACACATCTTTTAAATACTTCCAGGGATGGTGACTCAACCACTTCCCTGGGCAGCCTGTTCCAATGTTTAACCACTCTTTCAGTAAAGAAATTTTTCCTCATGTCCAATCTAAACCTCCCCTGGAGCAACTTGAGGCCGTTTCCTCTCGTCCTATCACCAGTTACTTGGGAGAAGAGACCAACACCCACCTCACTACAGCCTCCTTTCAGGTAGTTGTAGAGAGCGATGAGGTCTCCCCTCAGCCTCCTTTTCTCCAGGCTAAACAACCCCAGCTCCCTCAGCCGCTCCTCATAAGACTTGTGCTCCAGACCCTTCACCAGCCTCGTTGCCCTTCTCTGGACACACTCCAGCACCTCGACGTCCTTCTTGTAGTGAGGGGCCCAAAACTGAACACAGTATTTGAGGTGCGGCCTCACCAGTGCCGAGTACAGGGGCACGATCACTTCCCTGCTCCTGCTGGCCACACTATTTCTGATACAGGCCAGGATGCCATTGGCCTTCTTGGCCACCTGGGCACACTGCCGGCTCATGTTCAGCTGGCTGTCGACCAACACCCCCAGGTCCTTTTCCGACAGGCAAATATGATCATATATGATTATATGGACTCACCTGTGAGTCTTGGACTCGTCCAAAAGCACAGTTCTAGTGAGTGTTGGAGACTCAGCAGAGCTACGAAGCTTAATACATTATCTGGTCCTAGAGTGGCTCAAGGACTGATTAGAACAACTTTTTCTTGCCCCACTTTGGAGGACAAATGAACTGAAAGCCATTTCACCTCTTTGCCCACTGACCATACGTATGAACACAAACATAGGTGGCAGCTAGAGAAAAGTCAGAAGACAGTCCTGCACGCTTCTGGAATGGCTCACAACAGTTTTTGCCTGTAGTGAGCAACCTCTGTGGTCTGGTACCTTTTTGGCACCTTATGCTGTTAATTTTGGGTTAATTTTCTGTAATGCTCCTTCTGCATCAACATAGCCTTGTTGTTGGTACAAAGATGACTTAAACCAAAATCGAGCCTTTTGTCTTCCCTACCTGTTTTTCCCAGACATGTTCTTTCTACTTTATTATTGTGTGCTTGAATCATACTGGAAACAGGCTAGATCCCAGCCCCGGAGCATGGGATGTCACGCATGTGCACGCACGGACAAACATAGTTGTATTCCCGGAATGCTCTCTGAGCACTAGAGACATACTGTGTCTCAGGTTGATGAAACAAATGCATGTAGTAGAAAAGAGAGAAAAACACTGCTGTTAATTTTAAAAAGGGAAACAAGTAGCATTTTCATTCTCACCAGGAAAGGCCATTTTGAAGTTAAACAACCTCATTGATGGTGCTAATACTGTGCATTTAATTTTCAACACTGGAAGAAAAGAGATGTTTTTGTTCCCACTAGGGAAGGAACTTCTAAATGCCACATTGATAGTAGTGTTGTTAGAGTCATTTGGGGCTTAATAATAGCTTCTTTTGGCGAGATATAACTAAAATCTCAAGGTGAATCATACCAGTGTCTATAATCACAGTATTGCACCTGCACTTCCTGTATAATAAAGTTTATTTCTGCCTTTGTAAACCAGTGAATTATTATTTCTTCAAAGTCAAGTCCCGCTGAAACACAGAGGGCAGTAGCCCCATTGAGTTCAATTATGTTCTGTGCAGTTAAGGTTAATATATAGTGACACTCTATCCAGCTTAATACGAGAAGTGTGCCCTTAACATCACAGCAATGCAAAGATAAAGCTCAGAGTTACCACCACAGAAAGGCAGTAACAGTGGGATCTTACTGGCCTGGCACGATAAATCCCCTGAGCACCATCTGTAGGTTGGTCCCTGCCATAAGCAGTAAATACGCACTTGAGAGCCCTGGCTTAAGTTCGTTAGAAATACAGCTTGAAGAAGGATGGGGAAGAGACATTTTGCTGTTTCCCAAGATAACATACGTGTTCTGCTGGAGCAGATCGTTGAAGGTCTCCTAGCCAGGCAAGGGACAGCGCTTCCAGGGAGATGCGTCTGCGTGTGCCAAGGTAGCCAGTCGTTACTGTTCAGTAAACTAATCCTTGGCATAAAAGAAAATGCTTGCTAAAAGAGCATTAATGACTACGTAGGCTTGTCAATGGAAGGGAAGTTAGAGAAAATCGGTGTTTTTATTTCACCACAGTTACGCAACTGTTGTTATGCTACTGTAAGCAGCTCCGGATTACAAAATCATCCACTCTTTTGAGATTTCTCAGCTGAGGAAAATGCATTGTGTAATTGCAGTGGATAAAACTAAAGGTAAAAATGAAGAGCTTAATTGATAATCATTTTCCTTTACACATACGTGCTTTTATTACTAGCTTAAATACTATTTTGCATTTAGTGATATGTTATACTTGAAACATATAACAATGCCTACAATAGGGTTGTCAGTTGTTTTCCTTTAAATGAGTTTGTTAAGCTTTAACTACTAAAGGTAGTGTACAACTTGCTAAATTTGGTTGCTAAACTGTGCTTTAGGTAGCATACCACTTGCTAAACGTCCATGGCTTGGCGTGAAATTTTCCATGCTGAGGATGGAAGTTTAGGGTGACTTTACTGCTACCAAACATGATCTAAGAACAAAGGCAGGAAAAAAAGGGCTTTAGGATAAAATATTGTGAAGATCTTATCTTTGAAGTGCTTAAATGCCTTTATGCTCTAGAGCGGACTTGGAATTTGTCATGAAAAACTGAATTGGGAAGAGAGTGTCTGATCTTCTGACCAAGCATCATTTATAAGCCTTTGAAGAAACGAGTTTGCCACATTCCTGACTTAGCATGTGCCCCCACCATCCCTGCTACTACTGCAGTCAAGTCTACCCCAGTTGTGGGCTGCAGGGCCCAAAAGAGTCCTCTGTTTGCCGCTGTGGACTGGGGTGGGTCTCTGGACTGAGAGTGAGGCTATGGAGACCATCCCCTGTGCTCCCAAAAAGCTGCTGTTTTCTCCTCTTCACAGGTGCTTGAGTGTGTCTGATAGGAATGGTGACGGCACAACGACCTGACTGAGCCGGGGGGAAACAGTAAGTATGGAGGCAGAGGATATGGTGAAACTGAAACTACTGGGGGGTAGAAAAGCTTAACATGAGAGTAATAGGGATAGGATACTGGGATTAGGTGAGGAAGGAAATTAAATTCTGAAGGAGAAACGAAGGAGAACGGGTTCAAGGCAAGGGAACAAGTACATATAGATGAGGAATCAGAGGGGGACTGTATGCCAGGAGTCTAGGACTAAGAGAAATGGGAGAGGATAG